ATATATATATATATACACACACACATACATAGGTAAAAATACAGACTAGGGCAGACTGTTGCCTTTCCAGCTGACCTGCCGCTTCTGACGCTGGCTGACAATTTTTACAGCTAAGCCCTGACTGCAAGGAAATTAGCAGAGCCACTGGCACAGGACAGCTCCAGCAGGTCCACCTTCTCTCTGCCTCCAAGACAGACAGAGGCAGACAGGACTTGCCCAAGTTGTTCCTACGTCGCCATTTCCTACTGTGACTCAAGGGAGGATCGCAAGCGAAGCATGAAGCACAAAGTACCAGGCTCTAAAACAATTGCTGTCCGCAACCCCAGGTCATACCATGAAAATCTTGGTTCCTCTGTTTGTTTCATGTTGATGCAGAGATTAATTTTTTCCTGTCTCTGGCGTTGTACTTGCTGGAGCTTTTGGCAGAAAGGCGAGCGTTGCTTTGTTTTACGGAGGGGAAGACATGCAGAGTGGGTTTGTCATGGTTATGGGGGAATGGCACAGGAAGAACGTGAATAGTAGAGACTCACAGCAGTGCACAAGAAAAGCATTGGGTGGGTTTCAATAAAGCAAGACTTTGCCCAGGCCAAGGAAATGTTAAATATATTTATTTAAAAAAACCCAATTGATTTAAAATTGAATGTGAAATTATGACAATATACATCCAGGCCTTAAGCAATCCACTTAAAATTGAATAATGGGTTGTTCTGCACAGCAGAGAATGACTGATGTCACGTTTCCTATAGACATATCCCTTACATCTCAGCCCAGCTATGAAGCAAGAGTACTTTCAGCTGCCTGTATAAATGCTCTCACCCTCTCCCCCCGTAATTTTCCCATGCCGCCTCATTTGGAGGGCAAACAGCAGCAAGTGCTTTGCCTGGTTTAGGGCCAGGGGTGCTGGCTGTTGGGCCAATCCACAGAAGCCGACTGCCCAACCAGCCACTATGCTTGGAGCAGGACGAGAGGCTGTGTTGAGGGTGCCTGCCCCTTCTTGCTCGCACAAATTTCCTTTTCACTGCTCTCCTCAATGCAAATCTTGTCACCGACTTTTCTTTGTAGGAATCTAATATCTCTCTGATTTCTTTTCGTCTGTCAATTATAAGTGAAAATGGGCGACACATTAAGAATCTGTTAGGGGAGCAGACAGAAGGAATGACAGCGCAGTCTCACAAGCTCCATCTCATTACGAATCAGCCACCAAAGAGAAGGGTGCAAAAGCCAAAATCCTTTCCGGGCCGTGAGGCCGTGACAGGAGGTCCCTGGTGGCGGAGGCCACGCTGCTGCAGTCTCTTCAGGCGCAGGCAGAGAGTAGTGCTTTCATTTCAGTTTCTCTCTCCCTGCTTAGTTCGATCAGCAACTCGGAGCCGGGACAACGGCTGTGGGTTGACAGAAGAGCCGCGGTACCCTGGCCCTCTCCGCTTCGCCCCACGGCGCCGGTACCCAGCGCCCACCCCGGCTGAGGGGCGTGAGGGCAGAGGGCGCTGAGGGAGGGCGGGGACTGCACCTCCCAGCATGCTCCGCCCTGTCCCGCTTTGCATGCTGGGAGCTGTAGTCTCCCCGGAAGGCGGGAGGGAGTGGGCGCCGGTTTTCCCTCTGTGCAAACGGCGGGACCCAGGCGCGGGGCGTGGC